TGGGGAGAAGTGGAGGAGTGAGAAAGGGAGAGGGGAGTACACAGCGGGGATTGTGCGTGTGCTGGGCTGGGGGCGGTGGGCGAGTGGCTGCATGGGGTGAGGGTGAGGAAGAGGAGGCGTGGAGGAAGCGCGTTGTGGGCCTGCGCACTGATGGGGGGGTGTAAGGGGGGCTGCTGGGGGCTCTGTAGGGTGGCCTTGTTCTCCTGCTGCCTTGTGCTGGGGCCTCAGCCCCGTGGAAAGCCCCGAGAAACCCTTCTAGGCTGCAGCATGCAGCTCGCTGATTTCCCTATAGCGCCTTATCAGGGCATGCTCTAAGCTGGGGGGGGGAACAGCTTGTCTAAAATGGCCACTTGCTATATGACCTCAGTGCTGAATTTCTTGGGGCTCTCTGGAGCTCCCCCGATTCCTCAGGGCTGCTCTTCCATCTGCTCTTGGCCACAGGGTCTGGGACAGGTGGGGATGGAGCTGTTAATCCCCAGCATCTGCGGGGCAGCCTGGGGGATGCCAGTGTGCTGAGATGGAACAGCACGTGCCGCCGTCCCAGCCCAGTGTGCCCAGCCATCTGCACAGCTACTGTGGGGCAGGATGCGTCCCGCTGTGCTGATTAGCAACAAGGGCTCCTTGCCCATCCCTCTGTGCTGTAAACACACATAGGAGCTGTGCTCACAGCCACCTCCCAGCACTGATCTGTGCTCCTGACCCAAAGCAGAGCTGCTGTAGAGCTGCAGCCCCCACTCTGGCACACAATTCCTAACTGCCCTATAGATGGATGGAATATTGGAGCAGGCTCTTGCTGTGCTTTCATACCTGTTGCTCAGGAGGTGGAATGGAGCCCTGCAGAGTGGCTCTGGCACACTGAGGGGCTGTTCCGAAGGGCACCCATGCTCCATCTGCCTTCCTGGTCACCCAGCAAGCCACTACCTGCAAATTTACTCTATATGCTCAAATGCCTTTCATTCATTTGTTGCTTTCCAGTGGAGAGATTTCCTTAAGGCAATTTTTTTGCAGTCCTTGCACAGCATATGCTGTGTTTTTCAGCTCACCACCATTGCTCTGCTCCCTGCAGGTTGAGGCTCGGGACGAGGCTGCACTTCCCACGCAGCCATGGCACCCACACTTGCTACCGCTCACCGCCGGCGTTGGTGGATGGCATTCACTGCCATCATTGAGAATCTGCTCTTCTCAGCTGTCCTGCTGGGCTGGGGGTCCCTGCTCATCATGCTGAAGGCAGAAGGGTTTTACTCCTACCTGTGCCACGAATCAGGTAAGGGTGCTGTGAGGAGCCGGGGGTAGAGCTGGAGGGATTTGGTTGAGTGGGCACGCTGGGGATGGCTTGATGGCTGGACCAGATCTTTCCAACCTTAATGATTCCATAAGAATGGCTGCTGGGGTTCACCAGTGTTATTCCCTGCCTTGGGGTGCTGTAGGTTGGTTGGAGGTCTGAGGCCTTGGTCAGTTTTGGGATGGAGAGATGGGATACGTGCTCCTTTCCAAACTAGTTGGCATCCTTGTGATGGTGTTGTGTGGCTGAGGTTGCTGCTGCTTTGCAGATCGAATGGAAAAGGAGCTTTTCTGGACATTCTCTTCCACTTGGCCATGGGTTCTCCATCTGCGTGGACACCTGGCTGACCTCTACAGGGAAAGGCCTATGGAGCACTGAGGGGCTCTGGGGGATGATGGCTCTTGAGGAGGGTTTGTGTGTGCTGAAAAGGGAATGGAAAAGGGAGGCAGGGGCTGAGTGTTGGGGCTGCATCCAATTGTGGGCTGGCTGCATAGGATGGAGGAGGAAGCAGCAAAGGGAAGGGAGCTGGAAAACAGGAGTGTGGGCCCACAGTTGGTAATGGCTGAGAATAGGGAGGAAAAATCTGAGGATGTGGGGAAACCAACTTCAAGCAACAAGTGGCTGTGAATAGGTGGGATGATGCTTTGTTCCTTCCTTTGCTCACAGTGTTTCCTGCTCACCAGCTGCTTGTGAGGGTTGTTTCTTCGTGTGGCTGCAGTTGCTGAGCCTGGGTGGCTGCACCTGGTTGTAGCTGAGGGCTTGGTTGTCTTCCTGCCCTGTGCTCGTGGTGTGGTGATGCCTTTACACTTCCAGAGCATACAAGGGACAGCCCGTCATTCCAGGCCTCTGTGCTTCCACTCAGGAATGGTGACTGTCACAGACCTGTGTGAAAGACCCCATTAAACCTAGGTGGAGGTTACGTGCCACCCAGATAAAGCACAGAAGAGCTGATAAGCAAATGCTGACTGTCTCCAAGCACAGTTGCTTTCCTCACTGTGCCCAGAGATGGTAACCATGCTTTGCTTGAGTCCCACGTTGCTGCTATTTGCTTTGGTTGCATTCAGTTTGCCCACTTCTCCCATATCAGTGAGGTTTGCCTTGGCCTCTCCCTGCTGACTGCAGGCTGTGGTCTGCCTATGCTGCAAGGATGGTGCACACGTGTGGGGCTGGAATTATGCCCTGGGGGTAATGGCCTCTCCCAGGTGCCAGACTGTGCCCTGGGGTGGGACGGCTTCCTCCCTAGGAGGAATTCAGGTATTCAGGCTTTTCCATCATCCTCAAATACTGGCGTCCTCAAATGTCCTCTGAGGCGATGGGCATGGAGGACCAGTTCTGCCAGCTCACCCTTGCTTACTCATTTTCCTTTATTTGTTTTTTGTCCCCACTGCCCTAATCTCAGGGATTAGGCAGAGAGGAGCCAGAGCTCACAGCGCTGGGGACACACACCCTTGGTGCAGCCCTAGGTGGCTGCAGGGCTCTTGGCACCCAGCTGAGTTTGATCCCTGCTCGGTTTAGGGCATCCTAGTGGTTTCCTTTCTCAGCATAACCCAATGACTCGTGCAGCCCTTGGCTGGCAGATTAGTGGAAAGAAAGAAATTATAACTAGTAGCCTTTGGGCACTTGTTGTTCCTAATGTTGCTGTGTGCATGTGTTGCAAAACAGGAGGGGAAAAAAAAGACTTTTCCTAATGAGCCAAAGGTTCTTGGCAGAGCTTTGTGTTTGTCAGCAAAAGCTCTGTGCTTCGTGGTATCTTCCAGCAAAAGACAAAACTAGACCTTGTCCTTCCTGCAGTCTCCTCTCTGCAGGTAGCAGCAGCTGCCCAGGAAGGGACTGCTGTTCATGAATGCCTCGTGGCCTTCCCATTGAGATCCCCCTCTCTCCACCTGCCTTCAGCTTCTGGTTCTGGCTTATGCTCATCCACCTCACAAACACAGCGTGTCCATTCTGTTGTATGGGAGTGGAGGTGGACATCCACAAAGCTGACATCGAAGTAGCAAATATTTGTAAAGCAGCTTTGCAACAGGGTTTGAGTGGAGGGCTCTACCCGTTCCAGCCGGCAGATCTGACCGCACTGAGAAGCATGCTTGAAATTTGCTGACAAGGAGTCTGGTGGTGGCACTTTGTTCCCATTTGCATTTTACTACACTACTACTTGGCCTTTAACCAGCTGCAGCAAATGCTGATTGCGCTCTTTATCGGGATTTGGGCCTTATCAGCTGCTGGGAATTTGATCCGTTCGGGGACTCGCAGTGCTGGGATTGGGAAGCTCAAGTCTCGGGCATTTCTGGAGCATGTTAAAAAGAACACTGAACTTGATAATTAGCTCACAAAGAGCAGAGATAAGGAGCCAGTTGGAAGGGGACCTCTAAAATGGGGCTGTGGAAAGCCAAAGAGATGAGATAAGCTGATTCACTCACCACAGGTCAACAACACACCTCAATGCAGGCAAGGGCAGAGAGTGCAGAGCTTGGCTTTGAGCTGTGGCTATAGGGTCTGTGGTGGGAGCTTGGGATCTGAGGTGGGAGATGCAGCCTGAATCATAGAACCATGGGATGGCTGGGTTGGAAGGGACCTCAAAGATCACTGAGCTTAACCCCCCCCCGCTGTAGGCTGGGCCCCTTCCCCGTTTTAGGCTGCTCAGGCTTCATCCAGCGTGGTCTTGTGCCCCTCCAGGGATGGGGCACCCACAGCTTCTCTGTGCAGGAAAAAGAATTCTTGTACAGCTGCTTTTATCCCATTCAAGCTGGTGAGATGTGATGAGTGCTTGTGGAAGGGCTGCATGTGCGACCCTGTAAACAGGAAAAGCGTGAGCGTGGTGGATGGTTGAGCTCTACAGGAAGCACGCCGTGCTGAGCTGCAGCTGCTGGCTGTGTCAGCGTGGGGTGAGAGCTGCTGTGCAGTGGGGCCACGGCCAGGGAGCAGATGGGGGTTAAATAACCCAGCAGTGTGTGAGGTTGGGAGTTCGCCAGGTGCCTGGAGAGATCCTGGAGGTGAAATCAGAGGGAAACCCAAATCGATGGTGTTTGCAGTGGTGTAAAGCAAGAACATCTCCTCCCAGTTCCCAGAACGATGACACCATCCTGAAAAAGAGAAAACATGTTCTTATGTGGGCAGGCAGCAGATCGGCTGTTTGCACATGCCTTTTGCCTTGGCTTTTTTTTTTAACCAGTGCTCCCAGACTTTGCTCCTGTTGTTTGTTTTTCTCTTCCTCACTCATTTTTTTTTTTTTTTTTTTGGTTTGTTTGTTTGTTTTTTTGCTCTTTGTCAAAAAAGAGGAAGGTGAGGCCCTGTGTGCCTGTGGTTGTTACTGGGATGGCTGGGGCTGTCTCGCTCTCTGATCTAAGCTACAAAGATGAAAGGGATCCTTGGTGCTGGTGTGAGATGGCAGCAGCCCCTGGAACAGCCGGGCTCATTCCTGCAGACTCAGAGAGGTCAGCAAAGAACAGTTAATAATTGACCCTCTGCTGGAACCGACAGCTCTTAATTTGGGAGGAAGGATGGCTTTAAATGTTGCAGCCTGAACAAATCCCAGAGATGAGCTTGACATAAATGATTACCAAGGCAGCCTTCCTCTCACCTAAGCTCTGCCATGCTTTAAATAGTAACTCCAACTACTAATTGGGCAGCCGAAATCCTGCTGCTTGCAAGGGAGAGCTGTAAAAGCAGGCACTTTGCTCTTGTAATTGCTGATAAAGACTTGCAGCCTCTTGCTTGTTGGTCAGAAAGCAGTGGCCATGCATGGCCTGAGCCTCTGTGCTGCTGTGCCCAGTGTCAGTTTGCATGGCACGCAGGTGGGCTTGCATGTATGCCTCTCCAAAAATGCCCTATTTACGGTGTCAGCTTCAAGAGGATGAGAAGATGCCAAGGGCTGCTTGAATCATTTCCATTACGATTCGCTGGATCTTCTCTTGTTGCTCAGGGGCTGCTGCTGTTTTCACAAACAATTTGTATTTCCACATCGCCCGGCCCCTCCTTGGAACTGGCAGAGAGCTGCTGTAAACAAGGTGCTGGGTGCCCTGCTCCATCCTGCTGCAGTGCTGCCTCTGTCTCTTGCTGCTCCTTGGGGTCACGTTGTGACTGTGTCCATCAACATGTTAACATCAGTACATTTGCTCCAGCTCCAAGCATTTCTGCTCTGAGGTCCCTGTAGGTTTGAGGGCTGGTGACACGTGCTGCTGTAAGGTCACTGCACTGCCTGTGTCTCCCCACCCTCCTTCCAGGCTCTGCAGAGTGCTGACACATGGAAATTGCTGCAGTTTTGTCACTCTTTCCCCCCTCCCCTCCTTGTTTGTCTCAGTTCAGCCTCTAGTCCACTTCTGCTTGTTATGAACTTGCAGAGGGCCCAAGAAACTGGGATGCTGTGGGTGAAGCCCCTGGCCCACAGGAATGCTGCCAGGCAGCAGTGCTCAGGTCCTGAGCCTGGCATGGGGCTGATCAGAAGATTTAGGGGCTCTGTGCAAACTACAAAGGCTCCCAGCTCCGCCAAGGCTGATTTCTAGAGGTACTCTTCAGGTCTATTGTCCACCCTACTACAGGGATGCTGATGGTGGTGGGACAAGGGGCTTTTGGGGCCTCATCTGACACTTTGCATATCCATAGCTAGTATAGTTAGGGAAGAATGGATTAATTCTCTACCAGGAGCAAATGGCAAGGGGGAAGGAACAGTGATCACTGATCACAGACCGTTTGAGATCACTGTATTGCAGGAAAATGAATGGGGGCACCTTGCAGAAGGCTGGGAGGGGGCAGAGGAAGGTTTGACATCAGCCTCTGAGCTGCTGCTCATACGTGACGTCTGCAATTGTTTGCCATTGACACAGAGCCGGGAGGGTTGTTTGGGCAAGCAGGGTGCAAATGGCAGCTGGGAGAAACAGGATGAGACCAGTCACTGCTGTGATTCCAGGGCTGGGTGGATGGGGATGGGATGGTGTGATCCATGGGGACGTGGGGTGGCACGAGGGGGTGCTGAGCACAGCAAGCAGAGAGCATTTAGGCACTGGGATATGAGGGATTCCTGCTAATTAACTGCAGCTCGTTGGCAATCTCTGGTTTTGCTTCACACGTAGGTGTCTCCTCTCTAATTTTTCTTTAGTACTGAACTTTGTCAGATCAATTATTAAATATGGAGGGGAGAGAGTGCTTTCTTTCTGTCACTGGTTTGCTGCAGCAGTATGAAAAAAAAAAAAAAAAAAAAGGCAAGTGCTTTGTCATCCCAGCAAAGGTTACAGAAACTACAGATAAGCGCAGGGAGAAGGAGGGGTGGAGCGCATGGGTGCTCTGGGTTAATGAAAGTCTAAAGGCATACATGCTTGCTGTAGGGGATGTAAGCATTCTTGGGATGGACTTGTGACAAGAGGCACTGAAACTGCTGCTGCAGGGAAAAGGGAACTTCTCTTTTTTTCCTATATTTCCTCCCTGTCCTGTTTCTGTGCCTGTTACACAACACGAGCTCTGCGCAGCGTGGGAGTCTGCATGCGCAGCTCCTCCTGTGAAGGAACGACCAGAGAGCCAGAGGTGTAACCGATCTGCATGGCCTAAACCTTCTCAGAAAGAAGAGAAAATGCTAATGATGGGGCAGAAGCTGTGAGTTCATCAGTTCATTAGTGACTGGTGAGCTGCATGCCTGTAGGAGCAGTGCTCGTCCCATCTGGGTGGCTGTGCCACCATGTCCCCTGCATGGCAAGGCCAGGAGGCTCGTCCTTCGAGCTGTGCCAGCTCCCATCAGCTCAGTGTCAGGGCCTGAAATAGCTGATTTGTCTGCTGTGAGAGCTTCCAGTTCAGCTCAGAAAAGATCTGTGATGACACAGTGCTCAGGGAGGGCTTTATTTTTGTGTTTGTCACTTGCTGTCCTACCGAGGCAGCGCCCTGTGATTGCAGGGGCCTCGTTTCATAAATGAACGAAGCTCTGTCCTCAGGTGGTTCTGCCTTGTCCTTAGGTTGTTGCCCTGCTGCTCCTCGGTGGGAGATTGATTCCTGGTGCTCCCAGCTGAGTTCATCAACTTCAACTTCTGCTCTTTTTCTCTTCTTTGTCCATTTCTTACTGATTATAATCACAATTGAGTATCCCCACTCAATAGGTTCAGCGTATCACGGGGTTTATCTCTATCTCCCCATTCCACCACACTGCAGCGATGCTCCTCTATCACCCTGTGCAGGAAACTTCACAGACAGCCCTGAGTCTGAGAACAGCACCACAACAGAGCACAAATGGCCCTCGTGCAACGCACAGGATGAGATGCTGAACCTGGCCTTCACCATTGGCTCCTTCCTGCTCAGTGCCATCACGCTGCCCCTGGGCATCGTCATGGATAAGTACGGCCCTCGCAAGTTGCGGCTGCTTGGCAGGTTGGTGTCCTGGGCACAGGGTGGGCTGGGGGTGGATGGGGGCTGTTAGGGTCCTGTTGGCAATGACCCTGCAACCTCAGGAACAATAGGGGATCGGAATGGGAGCTGCTGGCTTTGCACTGGAGCAGCTCTGGGGTGGTTTGGGGCTGCACGGTGAGTTGCTCCGTAAGGGAAGGGTTTGAGACTCGGTGTCCGAGCTTCAGCTCCTTGGACAGATGGAGCCTGGGGAAAAAGAGGAGTCACTTGTGAGTCACAGTGGGTAGCTCTTTCCTTAGGCTGGGAGCTGTGTCCTGAGAGGCACAAAACCAAGATGTTACATCAGAGCTAGTAAGCAGGAGACTTAACTCCAGGATAGGCACGTCCTTCCTGCCTGCCTTCCCTAGGTCCCTTTTTTTTGTCACTTGGCATCTGTGTCGCTTTCTGAATTGGATAACCAGATCATCTGCAGGTTTTGTAATAGCATGTGGGGGTAATAGTGACTTGGATCCCAGCATTGCTGGGCTTTCAGAACCAGAAACCAGGCAGGGTGGGGAAAACAGAGCGAGTCTGACTCAGAGCTACCTGAGAGGAGTACTGCAACTGAGTCGCAAGGGCCAGGGCTGCTGCTGCCTTTGGTCACCTCGAGGGGAAGGCTGGTAAAGCTCTGTGCTGGAAAACCAAATGCTTTTGGGTCCAGACAGAGCTGTGTCACAGCCGTGGGAGGGAATGTTGCTGCTTCAGCCCTTGTGCAAGGCTTCTCTGTAATCTTTGGGTATTTCCTTAGTTTTTTTTCTTTCCAAATCACCAGCTCCCTCTTACACAAATTGTTCAGAGCTTGCTCAACAAGGTGCTAAGGAAGGAGAGGGAGATGTGATTTAGCCCATGTCAAGCTTTCTGCAGGAGACTCATAGTTCTGTTTCCCTTTCAGTGCCTGCTTTGCTGTGTCCTGTGTGCTGATCGCATATGGTGCCAGCAACCCCAACAGTAAGTGGGCCTCAGTGCTGTTTGGGGCAGGTTTTGGGGCTGGGAGGAGCCTCAGGGTGGGCTTTGGGGTCATGGCTACGTTTTTGGGGTGCACAGAGCCGTGTGCTCTATGTGCAGATCTGGGATCCTCCTTATATGATGAGCTCATGAGCAGGAGGGAAAGCAATTATTTATACAGTCTGATAGCAATAGTACAAGGGAAAAAGTTTTAAACTAAAAGAGGGGAGATTAATGTTAGATACTAGGTGGGAATTCTTTACTCAGAGCAGTGAAGCCCTGGCACTGCTGCCCAGAGCAGTGGGTGCCCCATCCCTGGAGGTGCCCAAGGCCGTGGATGAGCTCTGGGCAGCCTGAGCTGGTAGGGAGTACCCAGCCCATGGCAGGGCTAGGAACAGGGTGGGCTGTAAGATCCCTTCCAACCCAATCATTCTATGATTCTGAGACCATTCAGACAAGCTATATCAGCAAGCCTACTCATCACAGAATAGAGACCCATCCATCCAAGAGGCCACTGCACCCAAGCCATCCTTCTCCATGTGGCTGGGAAATGTGTGCTGGTGGGATGAGCTGGGGCAGGGGCAGCATAGCACATCCCAGAGTGCTGAACCACCTCTGAGGTTTTGTGTCAGGATCAAAGTCCAGGGGGCTCGGTGGTCTCCCTTCCCTCCCACCCTGGTAAAGGCACTTGGGCTTTGTCATTGCAGCTCTGTCTGTGCTGATATTCATCGCTCTGGCTCTGAACGGCTTTGGTGGGATGTGCATGACCTTCACATCACTCACGGTAAGCAAAGAGTTAACACCTGACTCCTGGTTTATTCCTTACTGTGGCTGGGAGCTGGGCTAGCAGGAAGGAGCAACGTGGATCTCTTGCCTACAGCTTGATGAGCACATGGGTTTGCTTGGTACAAAGGATCAGTTGCTCTTTCACCTGAAGGACTGGGTGTTAGTTGGTTATTCCAAGGCTGCTTTTCCCTTTACTTCCCCCCTTCTTGCAGTGGGGTAGCAGCTTCTTGTGAGTGCTTTTTGCATCCCTTCCCCAGGAGAATGGTGGTTCTCTGGCACAAAAGGGTGAGAGTCCCATCCAGGTTTCCTTAGAAATGCTGAGCCACTGAGTGAATTGGGCTCTGTCTGCCCAGCCATGTCAGTCAGCTCGGCCCATGGGTTGTGTTAGGAGCATAGGTCTACAGCTGTCAGCTGGGGCTCTGTGTTTTGGGGTTCGTGTTGCCTGGAGATGGGAGCAGTATCGTTCTCCAAGTAGCTGCTTCATTTTCCACCTCATTACCTATGTCAATGAGGCTGAAAGAGGGCTGGGCAGAAAATCTCCTAGAAAACAGCCTGGGAAGCACTGGTTGAAAACTCTGATTTCAACTGCACTGCCTTGAGCTCTCTGTTAAAAGTTAAACTGCTAGTTAAGGTTACCTCTAATTTAACGTGGGTTAGGTGCCGGCTGACCTGAGACCTCAACCTGGCAGGGGTTGTTTGCAGATCTCTGGGTGAACTGTGATGTTGCTGCTGCTGTTGCTTTTGTATTCAAAGCTTTCAAAACTGTGTGCAGATGTCAGTCTCTTGGACGTATGTAATGTTCTTCACTGGAAGCCTTGGCCATGCTCCCAGAGATCTGTGGGGCAAATGTCATCCTGCTTCAAATACAAGCAAGGAAGAGAGAAGCACACTGGTGCTACTGGGGGAGAGGACAGAATTCCCATCTCATGGCTGCCAGCAGTGCTTCTTGTCTCTCTGAGTGGTTATTAATGGGTCACTGATTATTTTGGAGCCACTGGTGATGATGGAGGGCAGGGCAGAGACTAGATGTGCTGTTCTGTGGCTGTTTAACAGTTTATTTCTGTGGCAGAAATAAACAAAGCCACTTATTAACACCCTCATTAATGAGCCAGTTTCTCAGCTCTGAGGAAGTACATCTGCAGGAAAAAGGTGAAACCTTCCAAGAAGTGATCCAAGTTGCTGTCACGAGCTGCCTTCCATGGTGATACGGGGCTCTCCTGCAGGTCCCTTCCACCTGTGGCCCGTAGGGATGGCGTGTGGCGAGGGAGAGACATGGGGATAGCAGGTTGCTGTGTAAAGTGGCATTGAGCACACGTCAGTGCCTGCTGCCAAGCAAGCTTGTGCTGGCTGATGCAGGTCCCGGCTGCTCGGTGTGCATGAGTCAAAGCAAGGTGACTTTGTCCTGCTAGCAATCTGGAGCGCTCCAGGAAATGGGTGAAACACACTTGAGCTGTTCCCTGTCACCCCAGGGTGGTGAGAGCGGTGCGTGGCTGGGATGTTCCATGCGTGCAGTGGTTGGATGCTTTTTTTGAGTGCTGGGGACCTGCCTGCGCGGCCACGGTGCGTTATGATGGAGAATCCGACCCTCTGTGCTCCTGTAGGAATTGAGGGATAAATGGGATTGCTGAGGATTACAGTGTGGGACTGCAATCCATGATAGGTGTCTGTTGGGGTCGGAGGTGTTTTTGGCACTGAGTCCCCAGGGTTTGCTGACAGCAGTGGCATGCTGCAGGGGCGGGCTGCCTGCCGGGGAGGAGGGGGAGTGGTGATGTTCCTGCTTCTGGGAACAAGGTCAGGCTGTGCCTGCTGTTAAAATGCAGAGGGGAGCTTGCTGCCTCGTGACTTGCTCTTAGCCAATATACAGTGGAGATTGGAAATGGAAACAGATCCGTATTGGTGGCTTTGACAGCAACGCAGGAATCTGGCACTGGTTCTGCTCCGAAGCTATTCCATGCAAAGAAATAAACATGTGTGATAAATTACCACAAAGAGCCTTTTATAGATTGTTTTCTGTCCTGTTTTCCTTTCAAAGAATTGCAGCTGCTTTGCTCTCATTTCTGCTACAAACAGCGCCCTGCAGTCGGAGCGGGGGGGGAGCATCTCTGTGTAGGGAATCTGCTCTGCTCAGAAATATTAGCAGCATTTAGGGCTCTGTGATCTTTTGTTTGTTGGAGAACGGGAACAGGAGTCTCCATATGTGTAGGACAAAGCAGGCAGTATGAGGCTTTCCTGGAGAACATGTTTTTATTGTCTGTATTATTTCCAAATATACCCCCTGATAGGGAAGACAAAGCTTAGCTTGAATGGAAATGCCATTTCCAAGTCCAGTTCTCAGTCCCTTGATTTTTATTTATGGATTTTTTTCTTTCTTCTTCTCTTCTTTCAAACAGTCCCTGCAATAGGAGGGCAGCTGGTTTTGGTAATGCCACTGCCATGTTTTTTTGTGGTGCTCTTTGTATAGGGAGCGTGTCCAGGGAAAAGATGAAAACACATAAAACTGATTGGAGGTCTTATTATAGGGCAAATGAGGAGAAGTCGTCTGCAAGAGGAAACAAGGAAGTGATTTTATCAGTTTGGGATTGCACACCTGTAGTAAAGGGCTCCAGGAAAAAACAGCTTTGGTGTGGCAAAATCAAGTATCTTTCAGACAGGGCACGAAGTTAATTATACCTGGAGTGTTACTGACCTTTAAACAGAAGACGTAAGATGTTTCTTCATGGTAGGTCTTCCTGAGTTGAGACACTCGTACCAGCATAGGCAGAAGTCAGTGGGGGAGTCAATTCTGGCCTGCAGGAATAAGGTCAGACTGCGGATCAGATCCTTCTGTTGGCAGAAGGCAAAGATCCTACTTGCTCTGTGGTTTGTGCGTTTGTTTTCTTTCTTTATTTTCTCATCCCCAGGGTTCATGTTTTTCCAGTGCTCGCTGCTATGCTGGAAATCTGGCTTAGAAAATACTGCCCGTTATTTTAGTAGCTGGTCTTCAGCCTGGACCCAGGCAGGCACTGCCAGTGCTAACACGAGCAGGCTGAGGGATTTTCTGTCCAGACCCAGGCTGTTTTTCCTTCCCTCTGTCCCTTCAGCTCTCAGGTTTCCTTTCCTCCTGAGTGCTCAGTGTTAGCAGTTGCACTTGATAAGATCTTATCCAGCCCACTGAATCTCCTTGTCCAATTTTCTTTAATCCGGCCACTTGCTTGCTGCCAAACAAGATTTTCCAAAGTCTCAAGCCTTTCTAGGACTTGTCCCCACCGAAGCAGAAGCAGATTTGGGTTTCCCAGAAGTAGCTGCTTGCTTTCGGGCTCTCTCTGGGTCTCTGGTACCCCCAGAGCTGGAGGACCCACCTGGGAGCTGCTCATCTGCTTATGAAAAAGGCTTTTTGTCATCTCTGAGACTTTGGGGAAGAGCAACCCGAGCCAAGAAGCAGCTGTGTTTGTGCAGCTCTCGCCCTGCTTGCAGCTCTCCAGCAGCAGCAGCTGTTTGTTGTAATTTCTGGAGGTTATTTTAGGTTTGGGGCATTCGAGATTACACAAACACCCTGCCTGGTGACAATGGCCAGTCCCTGCAACCTGCAGATATTTCATCCTGCAGATGCTCTTTTCTGGGATGCATTGTTTTTTATTTTTTTTTTTTAGGCCAGCACTTCCAGGGAGGGATTTCTATGCCTGGTAACAGAAATTTGGATCGTTCACCATTTCCTGCCTGCAGCTCCCAAAAGCAGCCTGCTGGCAGCGCTCCCGGGTGCGGGGATGTGGGGATGGGTGTGAGGTTCCTTGCTGCAGAGAAGTGCAGCGTTTTGCTGCCTCCGCTGTGCCCGCTTGGGGCTCAGTGTCTGCTGCTGCTGCTGCTGTTCTCTGGCTGAGGTTATCCGAGGACCTGGAGGCTGTGCTGCATAGAAAGCTCTGCAGTGAGGCAGAGGGATGATAAACAGCCAGATGGATCCTTGAGTGTTCCTGTGCAGGAATACTTGTGCTGTAAACACGCCGGTCCCGCTGTGACACAAGCCAGATTCACTTGCCTTATATGCTGCTCCTGGAAAAGATGGATTTGTTTTCCAGCACCGAAATGAGAATGAGATGAGAGCATTTGCTTGCTCAGACTCAATCCAATATTCTCCAAATCATTTTGCTATCTTGAAAACAGATAAAATGCCGTTTAGCTTTCAGTGCTTGAAGGCACCTGCAGTGTCCTTGGAGACCCCAAGGCTGACGTGGTAGTGATGCCTGAGTGGATCTGGGGATTCTGTGACCTGAAAGAGCAGGAAGGAGGCAATGAAATCTCACTTATACAGTCTGTCTGCATGGGGGAAGCTGGCTGGTATTGGCAACGTAGCAGTAACACCGTTCATGTTAGTTTCTATTCCTTCTTGTTACAGCAGGAGCTTTCCGGTCCACTGCAAAGATTAGGTGCTGACCCAAGGTGTATAAACAAAACTGGCAGCCCAAGGTGTGTTATGGATTGTGCAGCTGCTACAGCCCATCTCTAACAACTCTCAGCTAAAAGGAGAGTGGTGGCTGTAACCTTGGGGAAGGGAACCTTTAAGGAAAGCACAAGGACTGGAACAAAGGATCCTGTGCTAAAGGTGACCAATGCAAAGCATGCTGTCAGTCTGGAAGGAAGCAGTATTGTTAAGCACATAAATCGTGGGTTGTAGACATTCCCTGACACTGGAGATACCAATGCAACCTGCAGATCTTCATCCTGATGAGCTAAACCATTCTTGAACAAAACTTGGTTTTTTGGGGGTTCTGGTACCCAGTATTATTATCTCTGAATGCCAGCATCTTCTCAAGAGGTTTCTCCCCTCCTCTCGCCCTCCCATACCCAGGCAACAACCTGTTCCAACTGATTTTTCTGTCCCCAGCTGCCCAACATGTTTGGTGACCTTCGTTCCACGTTCATTGCTCTAATGATCGGCTCCTATGCTTCCTCTGCTGTGACCTTCCCAGGAGTCAAGGTGAGTCTGTGGGATTGTGACTCATGACCGGTGCTTTTTAGCTGGAGATTTGTACCATTTAGCAATGATGTCGAAAGAAAGAGGGATGAATTGTTAAAGTACTTCTTTACAGATGTGCTGTTGCAAGATTCAGTTCCTGTGTGTGTTTACAGACTTCCAAATTTTCTGCTCTTACAGCCAAAATCATACTTCTTTCTGCTTTCTAGGTTATATATGACTTTGGGGTCTCCTTCATCCTTATTCTGCTTGTCTGGGCAAGCTGTGCAGGACTAGTTTTCCTCAACTGCTTCTTCAACTGGCCACTGGAGCCCTTCCCAGGACCAGAAGACATGGACTATACGTAAGCATCAACTAGATGAGCCCTGGGGGCTAATCCTCCTCACAGCCAATATAGAAGAGCGGGCAGGGAATTCCCTTACATGTTTTATATACATAGCTTTATATCTTGATTGGTGAATACCTGTGAAAAGTTTTACCTTCCAAAGCATTGGAACCATGAAGGAGAACGATGTGCCTGTGACAATAAGCATTCCTATACTGATTTGTGCCAAAGTGGTCCAGGTACATCTGTCTGATCTGGATCCAAATGACTTGTGGGATTGTAGGTGGAAACCTAGTGCCTTGCATCCCCCCTACACCCCGATTCCCACAACTCTGCTGCCTCTAACTCCCACCCTGTGTTGCAGCCCTCGTTCTCTTTACTGCCCAACAGGGTGAAAATAAAGTTCAGCTGGCTGGGATTTGACCACAAGATCACCGGGAAGCAGTTCTACAAGCAAGTCACAACCGTGGGACGCCGACTGAGCGTGGGGAGCTCCATGAAGGGCCCCAAAGAATCAGCAGCCTTGCAAGAGAACAACAAGCTCTGCCTGTCCACGGTGGACCTTGAAGTGAAGTGCCAGCCTGACAGCACAGGTGTGGTTCACCACGTGCCCTGGGGGATGCTGGTGCATGCAGGAGGCTGGTGCTCTGCTCCAGGCCTGTTTACATGAGGAAGAGCGATACATGTCCTGTATGTTGCCAGGGCCATGTGCCAGGCACAGCTTTATAGAGAAGAATTCAGTTATATAAGGAATCCTGCTCACATTTTCCTGCTAAACTATGCTGTTGCCTGGTGTGGATGACCACGTGGGTAATGGTGTGGCCATAGGGCAGCACATTTGGTCACTGTTGCCTCTTAGACAGGCTGCTGCCACCTCCCAGCCTTCCCTCCTCAGGGATATGGCAGAAGGAAATGGCTTGAAGTTTCCTATTGCTTTGCTCACCAGAATTGGGTGAGACTTACCTTGCAGCAGTTTTTGGTGACCAAACTCCCAGCATCTATCACTATTCAGTAAGGAAGTTTGTAAGACTGCAGACAGTTGCTCTCAGCGGATTTGGGGGCTGCCACTGGCACCAAGCTGGGATGATTGGCCAGAAGGCCTGCTAACCCAAGATCTGCAGCCTCTTCTGAAGTCATGCCTGTCTGTAAGACCACGCTGCCTTTTTCAGAGACTCTCTTTTTCCTTCTGTAGCTTCTCCTTCCTTCATGAAGAGTGTCTTCAGCCCCATCTTGTTGCTCAGCCTTATCACCATGTGTGTCACTCAGCTGCGGCTCATCTTCTACATGGGGGCCATGAACACCATCCTTGAGTTTCTGTCCGGAGATGAAAGCCAAGGTAGGGTGACCTGAAGACTTTAATCTGCTTCCTTGGAACTGGGTGCTGACCCAGACTCGATCCTTCCCAGAGGTCAGCATGACTGATTACTCAGCAAACACACCACCTACAGCAATTACTGGTGCGGTGACTGCTGCTGGTAGGGTCCAGTGGAAGGCTGGAGCTGGCCCAGGGCAGAGGGACACAGTGAGGTGGACACTTGAATGTCAATCTAATTTTAGCCCAGAGTCTGTTAAACACTATTCCATGATATTCCTTCCGATAGCTGGTTGAAATGCCCTCTCAGGGTGAACTGTGGCTTTTTTTTTTTTTTAACTGGGAAACCTATTTCATTAGGTATTTGCTTTACTTATCCTAAGCAAACACGGCATACAGAGCAGCTGACTCTATGACCATTGGCTGGGCTGGGTGTCTGGTCCCAGCAGCAGGGTGGGAGAAGTGAAGTCATGGCTGTTTTGTGCAGCCTGTGAGTGTGGGGAGGCTCAGGGGTGTTCGCTGTGCTGGACTTGTATTTATAGCTCTGATTCAGTACATGGAGCAAACAGGAAAGAGTACATTAGTTTACTGTTGCTGGAAATACAGAGGATTGCAAAACAAGACTTAGCTTTTTTTCTTTTTTTTTTTTTTGTCCTTTGTAGTAAGATCCAGTTTGAACTTGTTAAATCTGGATTGCATGAAGCTGATAAATCAAGAGGCACTCCTCTGAAAACAGGAGTGAGCTCTGGGGGAGGGAAGGAAACTCCAAGCCCTGGCATTCCCTGAATTGCTTTGTTTGAGCGTTTGACAGCCTGCAGCATTCAGCTCTTTATCTCCTGGCTCTAGAGCCAGTTTAGGCATTAAACAGTAAACAGGACAAACTTCATGCTGCCTACCTTTCTCAGCACAGCTCAGTTTTCTGCTTACCTTGTAATTCTTGTACTGTGATTTTTTTTTTCTTTTTTTTTTCCCCCCTGGTTTGCTCTAGTTATTTCCTCTCCCCCTTCCCAGTATTTTAAGATTAATATCAATTTATGCTGCCAATTCTGTTTCAATCAAGTTCTGTGCTTTTTTTTTTTTTTTTAAAAAAAAAGAACTTGTATCTATTGGGTGAATTGTTTTTCTATGCCACCTTAGAGATTTCTTCCCATTCTCTCCTTCCTCCCCCAAATGCAGCCTGGGCTCGCAGTGCAATCCACTGTCTTGGTGTTTCCATGGCACCAGCAAAACAGTGGTTTTGTCTGGTCACAGCAGTGTTAGGCAGTGAGAGCCATTCCAAGATGCACGCAGATCTCTAGAAATGTAATCCATGCCCATCAGGAGAGGATGGGATGCTGCTCCCTCAGATTCCTTGTTTGTGCATCGTTTACTTGTTTGCTCAGAGCTCCCCACCTGCAGTACTCAGCAAGGGGAGGAAAGAGCTGTCAGTGTTGTTAGGTCAAAGAAAACTGCAATATACCCAGGAGAGAAGGATTTGAGGGAAATCAGAGAGCATGAAGTCTTGAAGCTGCAGTGAAGCACTGGAAGTTCTGCTTCCCATGCATCTCATATTGTGAAACATTGAGGTGGAAAAGCAGTCAGTGTGTGGTTCCTTATCTTCTGGAAACCCCCAAAAGGTGGAGGGGAGAAGCTAGAGAACACAGAAACTCTCTAAACCATATAACTGTACCATGGGAAGGCAGGAGAGAGGAGACCTGTTGTTTGAGACTTCTAATTTGGCTTTGCCTTTTATAAATCGTCACCTCGCTTCCAAATCTGGTTGTACTTGGAGACCTTGGGAAGAACCAGGACAGGCTGGAAAACTTGGCTGTATTGCTCAGGGCAGTTTGACGTAATAACTTACAGAACAGGGGGTATAAAGGGTTGTGCCTGTGTCTGCAACCTTTTCTGTTTGCTCTGCTTTTGCTGTACCTGCTGGTGTTTGCTTCATTTTTTTTCCTCCTTAGGAAGTGACAGTTTTTATGATAGATAAATTGAGGAGATTGTTCCTATAGGACTTCTTCTCTTGCTGTCCCCATAAACTTTGTTCCCTGCTTGAAGCTGGCTTCTGCTCCCACTGTTTAGAGCCTAAGATTAAGTGTTCAGAGTAGCAAGAGAAACAAAAGTTGACAGCATGGCTTGCTTCTTACCCTCTGTTAAAAAATAACCGTGCAAGAGCAAATCAGCTTTTGGAGTGTTTGTAGAGGGTGATGCCACCTGTTTCTTTTGGCTCCAGCAGATGGGATGTGGGGCCACGTCAGGGCTTGCTTGTGCAGAGGTAATGGGGACAGGAATGTGAGTTCAGAGGCTGGAGCTGGAAGTTCTTCTTAGTTTCCCAGCCAGCAACTGGAGCCAGGAAGGGATCATCTGGTGCCATGCCTGGCACTGCGAGGCAGCCCTGCTGGGGTTTGCTATGACTGCATAGGAGAGGAAGGCTTCTTGGAAACCTCCCTCCCAACACCGCCTTGATTTTGGGACTTCATGGCTGCAGTGCTTTGAGAGTCCCAGCGATGCATCGGAGGGATAAACTAAAATTCTTCTTGGCTGCTTTTGCTTACAGTGCTGTAATTCGTGAGTGCTCTGTGCTGAGATAGTCAGTTTTGGAATCACATCCTTATTTCAGAGCTGTGGTGCACTGACTCACCAGCCCTTCTGTGTGATGCCTGCAGATCCATCGTGTGGGCTGCAGAGAGGAAGTGGGAACAGCATTGTGGGGTGGGGGAGCTGTCTGATAACAGGAGGGGGGAGGTTTCTTCTAAGTCTGCTGGCATCAGCTTTCCCCTAGAGAGCCATGTAGACATTATTCCTATGTTTAATACGCAGGGAATTGTTATCAGTTGGAAATTTTAATGATTGCTCACAGATGCTGTGTTATTTGCTGCTGATTTCCTCCCATAGAGGCACTTCCTAACTAATCCATTCTTCACAAAATGGCATAGATTTCACCTTCCCAGCATGGCTTGTCCTTGCATCTTCTGCAGATCAGAAGCTCCAGCATTTGGAGCTCCCTGCCAGGCAGCAGAGGAGATGACTAAGGCAGGGATGCTGTGCAGGATGCATCACTTGCAGAACTTTCCCTGCTGCTCCTAGCCAGCAGAAACCTCACTGGCACAAGGCAGTTTTTTGGGTGCCCCTGCTGGTCCTGCCTGCTGTTGGGCTGATGCTCCTCTAAAAATACAACAGAAGGAGGACTTCTGCATCCCAGCTGCTTTCAGCCCTGCGGGTTAATCTGCAAGTACACAGAATCTGGGCTTCTAGTAGGAAAGGTGAACAGTGAGGAGGATGTTTCTTTTCTTCTGTCTTTGTTTTCCTGTTACTGATGGTTTATCCCTTGAACTGACACCCTTAGCATCTTTTTTATTTTTTTTTTCCCCTGCAGTGAGTCTCTACACTTCCATTTTTGGGGTACTGCAACTGCTGTGCCTGCTGACAGCACCTGTGATTGGGTACGTCATGGACTGGAGGCTGAAAGAATGCGATGATGGCTCTGAAGATAATGAGGAGAGCAACGCTGAGCAGTGAGTAGTGAGCACCATGCAGGGCATACAGCCACGTAGCAGGCCTCCTCTTCTGAAGATATGTAGAAGAAAAGGATGTTGGTTCACCAATATAGAAAAGAAAGCTTGAAGGAAGACTTGATAGTTGCAAGGAGGAAGGGACTGGCGTCTTCCGTGTTTGCTAAGATCAGTTAAGAGGAGCAAATCTAAATTGTAGCACAGAGATTCAGACTTTCCTTCTAGTATAACAGCAGCAGCACTGAAATAACTGCCCTTTGTTCCTTACTTTTCACCGATGGAGATCCTTTTGTCTCCATAGCCAGACCTGCAGACAAAGTGGTTTAGATAGCAAGATTCATGTTATATCAACTGTGAGTTTCAGCAGCTGCTGAAAGTGCTTTTCCTAATGCAGGTTTTGTTATTCTTCCAGAGGTGACAAGAAAAAGAAAAAACGTGACCGTCAGATCCAGAAAATCACCAACGCCACCAATGCCTTTGCATTCACAAATGTCCTGCTGGTTGGATTTGGGGTCACCTGTCTCATTCCCAATCTGCAGCTGCAGGTGAATAGGTCAAATGGAGGTGTGCTGGAGGGGCTGGTGGCAGGGGTCCAGCCAAAATGCCAGGCACGGTGATGCTGGGATAGCTGGCAAACCAGCAGAACTATCTGATGGCAGGAGGGCGTTCTGGCACTGCTGGGAGATCTCTGTGCTGCTTTGGGAACCCTGGCCTTAAAACTGAAACAAATAGCACCATTCAGTTGACACATCGTGAAGTAACCTTGAGAAGTTAGTGTAGTTAAAATGACAGAGTTGATCTGTGGTTTATACATAGAGTTCGTGCAGCTGAGCTCTGTAACTACACATCCTATACTTCCCTATTGAGGTGCTCTTAGCAGTGCCTGTGCTTTTGACCTGGGCTTGATTTAAGCTGCTGACTGTGACGCCAGTACGTACAGCAGGTTATTTCTGCATCAAATGCTGTGCCCAATGGTACCAGTGGGATTATAAACCTGTTATAATATTTATTTTGTGACACCACCTGCTTTTGACAGATGAGTTCAGTGGTTTTTATACTATCCCTAGACATGCCCTGGTGATGTAAGCAAACAGGTGTCGTTTGTTCATATTTGCATGTTTGCAATAACTTGTGGAAATTTAACTAAATTGGACATGAGTTCAGAATGTTGTGACCCCTGCTACCGTTTCTTGGGTATGTGTCCTTGAAACAGTGCCATCTACAAAAGAGAGAGGTCTTATGCTCTCTGAGGTTAACCATACACGACATGTCAGCACAGTAAGGAACAACACTGCTTTTAGAGATGAATACGAGTTATTTCCTTGTGCCGGTGTTCAGGTTTGGGCTCTGGCTGCTCAGGTCTGCCTATGTGCTAGAAAGGAGAGCACCTTTTAGGAATGGTTGTGTGTTGGGGTCTGGTAACCCTTGGCATCTAGCACTTGACATTTTATTCTTCTCTTTGCAGATTCTTTCCTTCATATTGCACACAATTGTGAGAGGATTTATCCACTCAGCAGTGGGAGGCCTCTATGCAGCTGTGTAAGTTTCTGCTTACCTATAATATGAGGCTGGACAGATAAACTGGTTTGAGGTGATAAGAAGTCCTGGTGAGAGGGAGATCGGGAATTGAAGTCTGTCAGAGGGGAAAAATAATGCAGTTTTTACTCCCTGTCCCTGCTGGGCATGATAGCAGCTGGACTGAAGTCCTGGCTGTTACATTCCTTCTTTGGAAACTGATAACCCCTTTGGCATAACTACTGCCAGGACAGAGGCATAACGTATCGATTGTGCAGGTGAGACTCGGCCATTGGCACTAGGGTTATACGGTAAGAGCTCAAGGCTTTTTCTGTTATAATGGGAAGTTGTGTGTATGTGTCTGGGTAAAGCACTGTGAAACATTAACATAATTGAGCATATTGCTGCTGGTCTGCTGTGAAATTGCACTAGTAAAGCATTGCCCAATTAGTGAGGCATACTCCCTTTCCCAGGTGGATCATCCATCCTGCTTCCAACTTATCAAAGCTATCGATAGCTGGATCTAAATACTCTCTTCCTTAGTAAGCAATGTTTTTCACTTTGAAAACAGATCTGCCTCTCTGTCCTGAGCTGCTGGGCAGAAAACAGGAAGAAACTGTTGGCTTTCAGAGGATCACAGAGTGGTTGAGGTGGGAAGGGACCTCTCAGTACCATCTAATCCAACCTCCTGCTCAAGCAGGGTTAGCTAGAGCAGGTTGTCCAGCCCTGTGTCCACTTGGCTTTTGAATATTTCCATGGATGGAGGCTCCACAGACTCCTTTGAAAGGTTTTGGTCTCAGTGCCTGTGTATTCCAGATTCAAAAACAATATTAAATCAAAAACATGCAAACTTTTGGTTCTATGGTAGCTGGAAACAAAATGTTTCTGTCCTCATTGTGGTAAATGTCTGCTGTTGTAGATATCAGCTTGCTTATAAGCTAAACTTCTCTGACCATTGCAGCTCTTTCCAACTTCTTTATTTTTGGTTTCAGTTTGACTTATTTGAATACTGGAAAGTTGTGATTGACTTTTTTCTTTCCAACCTGACTTTTTCTAAACACTGGTCAGTTGTGAAAAGAGACAGATGTTGGACTGCTCCTAAGATTTATTTTTCCATTAGTAGTATCTGATATTCAGCACTTTCCAATGAGCAGTGTTGTTTAATTTGACATGGGATCAGACTTGTCCTCTAAAAAGGAAAACACACAGTAACCTGTTGTGCAGGTTTCACTCACTTCTAAATGGGGCGAATTGCTGTGGCCAGATGAAAATGATTGCATAGCTGCTAATGCTGTCATCTGGATAAAGAGGCCCTGCTTTTAACTAGTAAATGTCAACACTGTTTTCCCTTTGCAATAGGAGTAGTTGTATAAGCACTTCCATCTGTCTTATGGTACAACAAAACAAGTGTTAGATCTGGTATTTCTTAAGTTTTTGAATTCAGGATGAGAATTGTCTGGGAAGAAGGCATCTGTTCCATCACCAGCTGTGCTCTGATCTAGAGAGCATTATGCTCACCACCATGTATAACTAAAATCTCTAGAATAAGAGGTAGCTGTATATAAGTTCAGGAGAGAAAAGTTCTTCATGTTATGCCTCTCTTGGGACTATGTTCTATTGTGCTGGTCTACTGGGAGTGCAACCTGAGCTGGGTGTTGTGAGCAGTCAAGGTGACATATAATAATGCTATTGCTTTTTCTGTTGACAGATACCCCTCTACTCAGTTTGGTAGCTTGACAGGGTTGCAGTCGTTGATCAGTGCCCTTTTTGCCCTTCTGCAGCAGCCTCTGTTTATGGCAGTAACAGGACCTCTGGAAGGAGACCCTCTCTGGGCAAGTTATTCTTAAATATAATATGCAGTTCCAGTTGGTGAAGATGACTTGGGTTCATTTCTCTGAAAACAAAATCACCCCTGTGCGTGGACCAAGGTTATAAACAGCAGGGAGCGTAGTGTCCCTCAGTCTGCTGTTACCTTGGTGCTGTCCAAGAGACCCTTTCCTGTGTGAGTAATGAGGCCCTGGGAGGGAATGGCATTAACCCTTCTCTGGTGTGTGGGAAGAGAGAAGGCTGCTGTTTATTTCCTCACAAGCAGTTTGCACAGGAGGTCAAAATCTGTAAGGTAAAAATGAGTTAATTTGTCTGGCCCTCAAATGCAGTAGAAATTCGTTATTCTCTTGATAACAATAAACTCTAATGATCAGTAAATTTTGTCTTGCTGATGCTAATGTTGGGAAAGCCAAGTGGCTTTTGAGGGTAGGACAAATGTGTGGTGTATTGCTGAAAGTCTGGGCAGCTCACTGACACTAATGTGTCAGTTTTCTGGAGAGTCTTGATCTCTAGGCTGCGTGTGCCTACATCTGCTCTCCAGCAACACATGGCTCAGTGATGCTGGTGGAAAAGAAACGTACCTTGAGCAGCCCTACCTGTTGTGTGCAACAAGAGACTCTTGCAGCCAAGATCCAGAGCAATGAACTCTTGCATTATTTAATTTATATGCTCTGGGCACCAGAGTATAAATAAAAATACAAAGGATGTTGTTGCCAATACAGAGAGCAGGGCGTCTCCTGGTTTGCCTGTAGCTGAGTGACGTGAGCTGGGTTCTGACACTTGGGCATGCATGACTTGGTTGTTGTTTTAACCTGTCTGTTTTGTCTATCTTCCTGCAGGTGAACGTTGGCTTGCTTGGTTTGAGCTTACTGGGTTTCTGCCTTCCGATCTACCTGGTCTGCTACAGACGCAGGCTAGAAAGAGAAAGGAAACAGAAGATTGAAGATTCCAAACTCTTCCTCAAAATCAATGGCACTCCCAATGAGGAAGCCTTTGTTTAAACTGGTGCTTCAAATGCAACCTCCCCTGTACAGGTTCCTACCATATCCGTGGGTTCTACCTGTGGTGTAGGCCAGGCTTTTTCTCTCCTGGCTCTGTTCATCACTGGAGTGAGGGCTGGACATCATGACTGAGCTTTCCTCAGATATATGGCAGGAGGAGACTTCACACTCCTTACTCCAGAACACAAGACTTTTTACAAAGGCCACACAGATATTGTGTCTTAAACTACCCCCTGATCACACTCTCCAGCTGCAGAGGTTCTGCATAGGAAACTGAGAAGGAAGAGATGGATGGGGGAAGAGGGAAGAAAGACCTTAATTTGAATTTGCAAATGTAACATGCTTGAAGTCTGTTTCCCTCCTCTTCTCCCAACCTTGGCTGACTGTCTCAGATGTAAGTTGCACTCTCCTCTTTTCCTGAGGCTTCATAATGGTCTTTCTGCTTGATATGTAGCTGAACTCAGCAGTTTTACTGCCTACCCAGAGGTATCCCAGACTGTTTCTGAGGCAGGGAAGGGGATTTATTCCTTCATATGTAAGCACGGCTTCAGTGTATTGCTAAATGTTGGCTGCTGGCACTGACAGCTCCCCAGTGTTTTATTACTACAATGACACAGACTGTGAGCAATGGATCTGCCTTCCACACAGAAATGAAGAGCCTACTGAACTGTTCTTGGTCCTACACCAAGCCTTCAAAGGCTTGGTATTCCTCTCTTCCCGGCCTGTAAGCCACCTGTACACGTTGTAAACTGCCTGCAGTCCTGGAACTGTTGCGATAGGAATTGGATCTTGTTTACCGATGAAGTGCTTTTGAGACTTGTTGCCTTTTGCCTCTTCCTCCCTCCAACATGACCCCAGGAGGGGAGCAGCAGCGTGTATTTACTGAAGTGGAGAAGCTTCTTGAAGCCGGTTCTGGGGCTCCAAATACCTTGGTGTTCACTTGTCGTAAGCTGACTTCTTGTTGAGAAGAGTCAAGAGTGCAGCACACTCCTTGTGTTTGGTAACTGGATCCTGTGGATGTATGGCAGGGTGATGTGGCAAAGTAATTCTTCCTCTAGCCATAGCTTATCTATATTGTTCTGACACAGGCTCCAAGCTGCTGAACACCAGGTTACTCTGACTGACCAAAAAGCTGCTGGTTTGGCTGTATTAAAAGCCTTCTATGTTGTCGGTGCTCTGTCTGGACAGAGTGCATGGTGAGCGACTGTATGGTGAAGCTGACTTGTAGAGCAATACATGTGGGTAAAGGTGCCCCAGGGCCCATCCGCCATAGAAGGAATACAAAGGGAATTCTTAACCCGCTTATTTTTATAATGGTTTTCCTAGGCCTTGCCTAAAGTAGACATTCCTCCCTTTCACCTTCTCCTCGAGGTCAGCAGCTCAGCCTCGGTATCTTGTGACTCACATTAGCCACCACACGTTGCGTGTTGCGTGCAGCACTGCAGCGGCTGAACTAGTGACTGCAGGGAAGTTGGCCGGGAGAAATAAATCAATGATGAAGGTGGAGTGTCTTCTGAGCTGCCAACTCCGGGTTACCGGGATGATGGGCTGTGTGGGACGGCAGCGCCATCTTGAGTCGCTGCCCTTGGCCACCCGGTGGCAGTTCAGTTGGTGTTCCACTCACGGTACCTTTTAGTCTCCAATAACTTATTAGGAAATGAGTTGCCACTTGAACATTTTACACATCTGTGGATTATTATTATTTTTTTTTTTAACATGTTGCCTTTATTAAATGTGTTTGTTCCGAGGCAGCCTTACTGCCTGCTGTCAACACTACGCTGTTCCGAAGATTTTCATTTTTCTGTTGGCCTCTAGCTTTGGTGATGATTTGCCCACGTTCCCAGCTTTACACCCTTTGTGTTGAGTGATGATGGAGGCAGCCTTTTGGTTTGATTTCCTCTTCTCCTGGTACAAGCCCAGAGACCCACCAGCACTAGTACAGCTTTGCTAGATTTCCAGAAGGTTTTTGCAGGTTTCTGCATTCTGTGTTATTACACTTCCTTCTTCTAAAAACATGGAAAAGATTTCTACTTTTGCTCCAAGATATTTTACATGACAATGACATTGCGTATCTTTTTTCTTTTCAATAAGCTCTCAGACAGGTGAGCAATTCTGAGCTGCATCCCTAAGTTGACAGATTGGAAGGACGGCTGTGTGCTAACTCAGCAGCAGCTCCTTTTCAAAATAATGAACATGATATCTTCCACTTGAATTCCTGACATAAATGCCTCTGCAAAATAGGGAAGTACAGAGAGTGACACATTTTCATGAGGGCACAGTGGAGATGCAGCTGCCTTTGAAGCGCGTGTAGCTAAATTAAACAGAGAGCACCCTTTTATTCCTGCCATCTACCTCCCTACTGCAGTTTTCAGTTCCTGCCCTTTATTAGGGAAACTGTCTAATCTGATATTGTTTCATCTGATAAAACATTGGGTATATGTGGTTGTTGTCTCTGCTGATGTGTCACAGTGTGTAGAAGCTGCCGGTCAGCTGTGAAGAATAGAGCTCATGCCTTTGAGTCGTGTGTTTTTTAGACTGTGTTTTAGACTAAGAGTAAAGTGTGCCTTTGGCTTGCAGTTTTAAGGACAGGTGGGTACACAAGGAATTTTAGCTGTTTAGGGTTAAGCAGACTAAAGGGAGTGCTTTGTCACGGCAGCCCAAAGTCAATCGCTGAAATTTATTGCTGTAGAAACGTGATAGAGAACAGATTATTGTTATTATTTAAACACAAGGGACTCGCTGAACAATGGCTTGATGCATCCAATAACTCAGGGAGATTTTAGTTGCTGTAAATAAGAAAGTTACACCAAGAAAAGATTAATCTTCTTCTGTGCACTCCGTCTCCAAGAACATGTGATCAGAGATAGAGGAAAATATACGCTGGGCTGGGTGGAAGGCTGATCTGACCTCGTGGGGTTTAATTGACTCTGACAATTGTGAACTGAACTTTAAAATCAGTCTCAAACTTATCTACAAATCTGTATCTGCATGTAAGATGTGCACCAACTGTGCTAATTGCGGCGTAATTGCTTAAATGCTGAACCTCATGTAGGCGTGGGCAAGAAGATGAAGTATTCTGGCTTCAGCCTTTTCTAAACATTGCCTTGGATGCTACAGAAACAAACACTGTTGAGATGGTCCTGTTAAATATGATTGTTCAGGGGTAGTTTGCCTTGCTCTTTGATGCCTGTGGAAATGTAACTGCAAATTCCTTACATTTGGAATGGAAAACAGCATCGCTGCTGCCTAGCCAAATGATGCAGGACTAAGAAAATTCCCAGTGCACTTCTTGGTGTGCATGAGGCACCCCTGTTGAAAAAAATAAAAGGACAACCAAACACATTAATTAGATCAATAATGCATTTGCCTGTAATTCCCAAATACATATCAACGTGTGTTATTCCTAAAGGCTAGAATGCCTTGTTGAATAGGCATCTGACCTATTCATAGGAATAGGTTGTTGAATTGTGGGGGTTTTTTTTGTTTTTTTTTGTTTGTTTGTTTGTTTGTTTTTTCTTCACCTCACTTCTATTAGAAATGTGAAGGAATGGGCCTGGAAAAAGCTTCATCTTCTGAGCAGAAGCATCCCCAGGTGAATGTAATGAAGCAGAAACGTGATCTGTGGGTGCCTGCTCTTTGTAGGAGCCTTCCATCAGGGATGTTACCATGTGGAGGTGGTGGCACCTATAAATGCCACTTCACTTACCCCTGGTCTCTGGAAACTCATGCATTTAATGTTTTGGGTTGTTTTTAAGAGAAACTGAATGGGGAAGGAAGGGCAATAGATTTCTCCTTCCCCTAATTTGTCAGTACCTAAGCCTCATCAAGAGTCTTCACAGTTGTAATGCAGCAGTGCTGTTGCAGAGAAAACCTGTGCTGTTTTTTTTTTCTTGTTTGGAGACCTGTAACAGTATCCAGTTATAGTCAGAGTATCTGGATCCTTAAGATGTAACTGGATATGGATATATATGAAAATAAGAGAACATCTTGCAGACAGTCCAACTTAACAGCAAAGCTACAGCAAGAGATGCAATAATACTCAGCTCTCACAACAAAGCCCAGCCAATATCCTCTGTCTGCAAAGGAAACATGTAGGATAATGAGTTCTTGGGGTTTTTTTTTTAACCAAGACAGTCGATCACTAAAATGTTTGCAAGTAGGAGATTTCCCTTTTGACAGGCTGATGGATTTGGGAAATACGCCGTAAAATATAAAGCAGATACTGCAGGGGAAAAAGAATGGCATCTTAAAAACTGCAAGTTCTGTTGTTTTGTTGTTCCCTTTGAGTGGTTTATTTTTTAAAATGTTATTTTCCTGCATCTGCAGAGCTTTTGCTCTTCCCCTACCTCTTTGTTCAGAAATGCATAGTTCTGCAAAATACAAGCTAATATCACACTGGAATTCCAAAAAACAATAGAAATAAAGCCACTCGGGATAACGCTTCACCATCATCACCTTTGCAAATAGCTCAAACAGTGCTGTGTTCTGTAGGTGCAGTCTGTCATGTTAACTATAACCCCACAGCTCCTTATTTTTCTGCCTGTGCAGCTCTGCCTGTCGTGCAATCTGTTTTTATCAGGTGTGTTGCGCTCCATGCTGTCATCCTCCTCTTCCTCATGCCTGCCACTCCCTTATTACTCCTGGAATAACCCACTTATTCAGAATCCTCCTCTCGTTGCCATGATTTTTGTTACATAGCCTGTTTGTCAGCACTGAGATGTAAGCACTCTGTGGCAGGCCGGTGTCACCTTTTACATGTCTGTAAGGTGATGTGCATTCTCACAGTGCTATCTACAAATAAATGTGGTATTAAGTTAATCATTAGTTTTTCTTCTGAGGCTGGGCATCCTGAAAGCATCTCTTGCTTCCTAACAAGCCTGTGTAAGCATGTGCACTTCCTGTGGTGCCATCTGCCACGTTGCTCAGCTGCCCTTCGAACGTTTCCTTGTGCTTTTCTTCTCTGGGTGGGAGCTAACAGCAGGATTTCAATCTGAGAGAAGAAGATCTTTAATCTTTTTTAGTAATTGTTAATTATTTTGACAGAGGGTTGAGAAAGAGATTGGTGCTCATCAGACAGGGTGAGCCGGTACTGAGGGGTGGAAGATGAACATGTTTGCGTTTGAATATATATATATGGAAAGATGAACCCCTCCATGGGATTGAGGCTCTGTGTCCAAAGAGGGGCAATGAGGCTGTGAGGGGTCTGGAGCACAAGTCTTACGGGGAGGGAACTGGGGTTGTTCAGCCTGCAGAAGAGAGGATGCTTCAGGATTCCAATGATCTTAATGTTGTGTTTTTTTCTTTTTTTCTTTTTTTTTTTCCCAACCTTAATGACTTTAATGACTCTGTGGGTCGTGGTGCTACACGATGGCGAGATCAGGAAGGTGCTTCAGTCACCCATGAGTGAGCTTGGTAATGCTGAATGTACAGCGCTTATTTCTCCACCAAATAAAGATCCACGCTCTCTGTGGTTCCAGCGACGAGGTTATAAAACCTTCAGCTCATTTCCTCCATCAAATAGGGCACAGGTCACACAGAGACAAAAAAAAAAAAAAAGCCTTTTTTACGTGCCTTTCGGAATTTGAGGTCACCCTTAATACCGAGTACAGCTGATGCTGCTCTGAGGCTGTGCTGAGGATCAGCGAGGAGCTGCAATCGCAGTCACCTGCAGCCACAGCAGAGCCCCGTTTCCAGCAGGAAATGCTCGGAACGCAGCTTTCTGCGCTAACACGAGCGTCGTTTGTTGGCTCCCTTCAAAATAAGGGTGTTTTTAGCGACTGGCTCCGAGGAGCGGGTTGAAGGGGGAAACCCTGAGGGAAGCACAGAAAACGCGAACGCCACCACCCGCCAACCCCTCCCTCCGCCACACACGCAGCGCCTCCCGCCAGGCGCGCGCGCTGCTGACGTAAGCACGCCTGCGTGGCGCCGTGACGCAGCGGTTGCCGCAGAAACGCCCCGCCCCTGCTCCCGCCGCCCTGCCCCCCCTTTCCCCCCCCCGTCCCGGTGCGGCGCGGTCCAGCGGAGCGGCCGGGAGGCGCCCGTCACCTTCAGCGTGGCCGTCCCGGGCGGGAGGCTCCGCCATGGTGCTCATCAAGGAATAGTGAGTGTTGCGGGCGGCTCTTTTCCCCCGACTCTTTCTCTTTTCGCCCCCTCGCTTGTCCTCCCCTCACCCGCCCCCCCCCTTCCCCCGGGCCCGGCGCTGTGAGGAGGTGCGGGGGCGGCCCGGCCCCGCACTGCGGGTTGAGGTGTGGGTGGGGGGGGCGCCGTGTGAGGAGGGGGGAGCTGTGTGAGGGCCGCGGCGCCGCCGGGGGTGGCGGGAATGGAGGAAAGGAGGAATGAAGGAATGAAGGTCACGGCGGGCTGAGGGGTGCCCTCAGCTCGGGTGTCGCTGCGGCTTTGCCTTGAGGGGTGCGGTGACCCACTCCCCCTCCCGGGAGCACAACCGGCGGTGCGGGTGTCCCCGCGGCCTTTGGAGCCGTCTGTCACCGCTGGCTACAGCGTTTCGA